AGCTCCAACTTACCTTCCTGACTCATTCTGTTGCCATAAGTCAGTGAGAGCTGTGGGACAAAAGCTGCAGCCTCACAAGAGGTAACTCTGTCACCAGTGCCTGTGAGCACAGCGCACAGCAAAACCATGCCCAGGGAATCTCTGCCTTGCCAGGACCAAGACACAGGGCACACAGGGCCAGCAGCACCCTGCCTTCACGGGTACACTTGCTGCCCACCACTCACAGAGCTAAGCCAGTTCCCTGATCCTCACTGGACCTCTTCTGGGGACTCCTGGAGATTATCTGCATTTCTCTCTAAAACTTCTTGATAAGCCTTTTTAAATATTGAAATAAAAAGCTGACAGCAAGAGCAAGTGGACTATAGTCATCTACACTTGGAATACAGAGAACGGTATACATCCTCTATTTTTTTTATATAAAGTGATTTTAATTTCATGTCTGGAAGTGCCTGCTGTCCTTTTCTAAGATTCTCAGTTCTGCTTAGTGTGAAGCATTATAAACATGGTTAAGCAGAATCTGTTTATGTTGGAAGTTTAAGGGAATAAAAATATTTTCACAGGTCTGCTAAAAAAATGCCATGACCAGCTCTGTGTCATGCTAGAGAGCATTAATGTTAGGGACGGCCATAAAAGCCACAGTCTCTCTTTATCAGAGAGAAACTGGAACACTTCCTTTTTTTCTCCCACAAATGACCGTCACATTAGTCCCAAAATAATGAGCATTGTTTATTCATATCCCAATAATTTTGGTTAGGCAATGATGAAGCCATCGCAAACATTGTCTGCTAGTCGAAGACCAGAGAGACAGCTCTCAATTACCACAGTACTGTTTTGTTAGATTCCTGATTCCTGATTCCTAGCCAGAAGCAATATCGTCACCCTTTTGCAAGAGGTGACTATGAGAGCTGAAGGAGTAAAAGAGGAGAGTGGATTAATATGAGTGTATGGTTTTGTGAACTGTGTCCAGGAGATCCTGAATTTCCTGCTTCACCTGACTGGTTGTTTATGAGATGTCAGCAATCCCCCTGCTGCCATGGGGCAGGGTGTCTGTGACGTGAACACAACCAACGGCAGTACCAAATGGTGCCACTGAGAATTAATTGCCTTTTGTTACATCAGTTTAATGAACTGTTTTTCAGGGACATCTGGCTTCCCTGCCTGAGGGTGGGGAAAGGTACCAAGGAGGTAGGAAAAGGCTTTTCTTCAGCACATTTTGTCTCCAAATATTCCTATTGTCATTGCTTGCTACCATGGCCCTGCTCTTCCGCATGGTTGATCCACACTGCTACTTGTTCCCTTCCAAACACCTCCACACACAATCTCCTCCCACATTCCTCACATTTAGACTAAAAAACTCTGCAGAGTCCACTTGAGGCTTTTTCTTGGTTTTCATGATCTCTGCTAAGCTCTTTTCTCCTCTAAGACCTCACCACAGCACACGAAAAGAACAGGTACTGACCAGCGTAGAGTGACTCTTGCCACCATTTCCTACATTAACACACAGGATCAGTGTCTCTCTAGGAGAACTGGGACTTTATTTTTAATAAATGGCCTGTGAAAGCATTTCCATTAGAGTTGGTTTGGTGCATTATAACTAAGTGGACGGAACAGAGTGAGGGTTTATTTATCTAGGGCAGTTTGGATCAGATGGAACATCTGGTTTTCATTGAAATCCTCAACTTTACAAAAAAAAGAAAAAGAGTCCATCAGGGTTAACAGAGACTCAAGGAAAGCAGGTGGCTGACATGACTGCAAGAGAGTTGAAATGGGACCAAAACAGGAGCATCCTCTGAAGTCTCAGTTTTAGCATTTTAGCATCCAGTTTGTAGGCCTGAATTAGTAAAAGGATTGCCTGTAAGTGCTAAGTGTACAAAGAATCATGTAGTTTCTCTGTTTTCTTTCATTGTAAATCTTAGTATCATGTGATTCAGCCTAACCATTGCACAAGTTTGAAAAAATACATGAGCAAACATTTTGCAGCGGGTAACACTAACATACTCAGCTTTGTAGAAGCCTCAACACAACCACGTTGGATAGACCACCTGCTACTTGTTCAGAGGCACAGTATATCCAACTTAGCTGTCAGTGCTAGGAAAGAGTTTCGAGAGGGATGAATAACGCTAGGAGTCAAGCCTGGCTGAAAGATTTCTTCTGAAAGAAGTCACAATATGCGGTATCTGCTTCTGTAGTTTCAGGAAACAGGAGTGATGAAAAGAGAAACATTCCCTCAGTCTGCTGGTGCTCACCACTGTCCCCAGCGACATAGGATGACTCAGATTCCCTAGGATCCCTAGAGAACAAAGTCTTTTCATTTCTAACTAGGTTAGACTTCCTTTTTAATGTGGGAGATGTGCCCTGTACAGTACAGCAATTTGTCCTGGCTATCATATTTGATCTGGAAAACACTTATTGAGGAAACAGAGATGCTGCCATAGGAAAAAACATTGGGACTGGCAGAGACTGTTGAACATTTTTCTTAGACACCAGGAGGTGCTTTGAAATGGTGCTTTGCACTGTCTATAAGTAGCCTTATGTCTTGGTACTGTGTTTGTGTGAGAAATAATGTGAAGAGGTTCTCTGTTTGTGTATGGGCATACGTGTCTGTTTTGCTGGCTATGCCTGGCTGCTAGCCTGGCCCTGAGACTGTGGGCCAGGACCAAGTGGTATCATTTTGTGATTGTACCATGAAAGTGATATTTCAGTTAATATTTTGCAGATCAGCTAAGGATTATATGAAAGAGTCAAAGAAAGAACTTAGGCCCCTCGATCCTCAGTTCCTGCTCTAATAAAGGAGTGATTAACATTACAGTTCATTATTACTTTCAATTTCAACTCCCATATGAAGCTAGAGGAACTGCAGTACTAGTCAGAATCCTATTTTCTGCCTGTCAGTTAAGCAAATGAAGTCCCAAGACAATCTGACTCACCTTCATATTTAAAAGAAAATTCTTTATTCCAACACACCTGTGTCTTTTTTAAAATGTGTCTTTATTCTGAAAAGCAACTGTCAAAAAATCACATCCTTTCACTCAATAGATCTATTATCTGTCTGTATTTTTATACAATGTATTTAGTAGTAAAATGAATTTTTACATCTTTTTCTTTCACTTCTAAGGTTTGACAAAGGTATGAGAGAAAAAGCTCGTTCCCGTTCAGGCTCATGTGTCACCAAAACAGTTGTTAAATGCTTTCCATTTCCAGGACCAAAATGCTGCTTTCTCAACTATTCCTTTGCAAACTCAGAGGACAATTTATTTGCAAAGGTTTAATTGTGAGCAGAATTTCATGTAATGAAGCTTTAATAGCAAGGCTGTATGAGCCAGAAAATGCACAGCTTGACTTTCAGATCCCAAGCTGAGTCTGCAAGTGGAGATGCTTCTAAACTGAGAAAATGTCATTCAAGTCACTCAGGCACAATAAATGTGAATCCCTTATCACCCTTTTTATCATCAAGAACAGGATCATATGAACACTAATGGAGGACTAAGATGCTGATGGTTACTTCTGCATAACCAGGGTAGTAGATAACGGCAAGACTCAAAGAAGCATTGTGTAAAACCTGTAAAAGCTCAACACACACAAATGACCAAATGTGTTTTCTTCAGAGCAGAACAACTGTGGTGCACCAAAAATGCCCCATCTTTCCAACTCTACCAGTTTGTCTAAACAAAAATGTCTCCTTAGAAATCTTCCCTTGGGCTTTAATGGCTGCTGTGACACTTCCACTTTTGCTCAAGAACTCATCTGGAAAGTCAAGTTCTAGTAATGCCTTATGTTGTGATGGCCATAAAAATCCCTGATTTGGAGTGAAGGGTAGTGAAATGTGCCGAACTACCAGGAGTTCAAGACCGGGTGTCTGTTCTAGGTACAATAACAAGTGCAGCAATATTCCTTGGAGAAAACAATAAAACAATTTTTGCTGGCTAAGAGTGCCCAACAAACTTTCCAACTCCTCATTCAATTTACTGGTGTGTTCTAAATATCATTTTTATAGGAAATCAGTATTTAAAGTCTTTTCACTCATCTTTCCTGTGTTAGGTTCTTCCTTCAGGCAAAACCAGCCTAAATAAAATAGCTGACACTGTCCTTTTTTACATAGGCAAGTACTGAGTATCTGGAGACTCTCGGCCTTTGGGAATGTTTCCAGGCAAAGCCAAGCTGATTAAACAGCCATCTGAAATGTTGCAGATGGAAGGTAAGAAGGTGAAGGTAAGAAGGTAAAGGTAGACTTTGATAACTGGGTAACTCTAATTGTTGGGAGAATGTTTTGTTCTGCAATTATGCTTACCACCATTATGTTGTTGCCAAGGACTGAGTTCACCCCTGCTGCAGCTTTGTAATTATTTGTGCACTGTGAGTTGAATCACAGAATAGTCTGGGTTGGCAGGGACCTGGACATTTTGAACTAGATCAGGTTGCTCAGAGCTGCATCCAGCCTGACCTTGAATGTTTCCAGGGATGGGGTATCTACCACCTTTCTGGGCAACCCGTTCCAATTTTTCACCACTCTCATAACAAAAGAAAATGTCTTCCTTATACCTAGTCTAAATCTACCCTCTTTCAGTTTTAAACCATTACCCCTTGTCCTGTTGCAACAGGCCCTACTAAAATGTCTGTTCCCATCTTTCTTATAAGCCCCCATATGTACTGAAAGGCTGCAATAAGGTCTCTTTGGAACTTTCTCTTCTCCAGCTTAACAATCTCAACTCTCTCAGTCTTTCCTCCTAGGAGAGGTGTTCCATCCCTCTGATCATTGCCCTCCTCTGGACCCACTTCAATAGGACCACATCCTATACTGAAGACTCCAGAGCTGGATGCTGTAGTTCAGGTGAAGTCTCACGAAGGCAGAACAAAGGGGCAGAATCACCTCCTGGATCAACTGGTCACACTTCTTTAGATGCAGCCCAGAATATGATTGGCTTTCTGGACTGCAAGCACACATTGCTGGCTCATGTTCAGAATTAATATCAAAGGGCACTTCAGATAGTTGTTTTCTGATATCATATTTATAACTTAACAATCAAATTAAATAAAGGAATTAAAGGCCAGCTCTGAATCTCATTAAATTTATTGTCATCCTGCAAATTGATGGAGATACCTTTAATAGTGTTCCATAATAGCTCAATCCAGCTGTCATGTAGTCAGTTATAACTTCTCCTATTTTTGCTCCTTCTGCCCGGGGGGCTGGGAATCGAACCCGGGTCGCAGCGGTGAAAGTGCTGCACCCTAACCACTAGGCAATCCATCTAAGAGAAGGTCACTCTAAACAAACCTACGTCCTGAGACCCTCACTGCCACTGTCCAAGCTTGTTTGGCCCCGGCAGATGAACCTCAGGATTAAAGGGTGGGCTCAGTTCAGCGCACGCTGTGTCTCACCTAAAAAATCCACTGCGCAGGCTCGAAGGGTTAATGACCTTTCCCAAATCTTCGCTCGCGAAGACTGGCCATACTATTTTTGCACCAGTATGCTTGTGACAAATGCGGATAGAGCCTCTCCCAAATCTTCGTTTGCGAAGCCTAGCCATGATTTCCCCTAATATTTTGATTTATTTGGCCAAACATACCAGTGTTACTGTATCGCTGACTTATTTACTTGTTTCAAAAACTATAGTTCCTGGCTGGTTTATCAGTCATTCCAACAGAATAGGAGATAGAGTGCCCCCTGTATCTTCAAAGTGCTGCATGAGGTTTTAGCACTCATCTCTCATTAAATTCAATGATACTCAAGCTAAAAGCATGAATAGTTCCCTCTCTTTACTGCCCTCTTACCTACAGCTAAGAGACAGGCAAGCCTGTGATCATTCTTTTCTTCAGGTGCCCCATGTTAACCCGAAACTCAGTAAATACAGTTTTTATAACCCAGAGTCTTTTCAAGCATTAGTCAACGCAGCACAATGCTCTTTGTTTAGCTTCACAGTACAGTGAGAGAAAACACTCTGATGGGCTTGTTCATAGTCTCTACATGGTTGTCAGTCCTTCACTGCTTATCTGCTATATGTGCTATGAATATGTCTAACAGCCACTTTACTGTATATGGGCGTGTGTAACTAGCACTATTTAAGTGGAACATCAGATTTCTCAGCATTTTCTAGATGACTACACTTCAGTGAAGTGAATTCCAATGCCAAAATTTTAACAATATTATATAATAAAGAATACCTATTAGTGCAAAAATAGTTTCTCCTTTTATTTTATTTGTTTGTTTATTTATTTATTTATTTATTTATTTATTTATTTATTTATTTATTTATTCCTTAAATAAAAAGGGATCCCAGAGCAGTAATTATCATTCTTCACCTGACAGAAAAACTACATGCTCTTTTTACTGCTCAGGTAACCCAAGGTCTCCTCTTTCCAACAACACTTTTACACCCACCTAAAAGAGGAAGGGAAAGCTCCCATTTTCCCCTGTGTTGTGCTATAGAACAAGTGGACACAGAGGCTCAGAGCAATGAGCTCCTGCTCAGAGCAGCCTGTTAGCCCCCTTTAAGAAAAGATAAGCAGTGACTTTACTAGCTGTTGTTGGGAGCAGCTCTGACCTGTGCTTCTCCCAGTATAGGGAATGAGACCTGAGCTCTGTGTATGACATACTTGCCTTGTGTGCCCAAAGAGCATCTCAAAATGAAGGGCAGTCTCACCTAAACAAGCAGTTTTCCTCTTTGTCTCTCCTTTTCAAGAAGCAGCAATGTTATTCTGTTGATGGCTCTATTTAAAATTTGTTTTCTTAATTCTGTGCTCTAATTGTGAAAGAGTGAACGATATTGTACATATGAATTAGAGCTGAATTATGCTAGTGCAAAAGTACAGGTGAAGCTACTGGTTTTCTCTGAAAACTGAGCAAGGCAGCCTCTAACTCTAGATTCTTCTTCCTGTTTAAATTGGCTGCTAGAAAGCAAAAAGTCTTTCAAATAATTCAAACACAGAAGGCAAGTCCTCATCCTAAATCCAAAATACAACACTATACCAGCTACTAGGAAGGAAATCAACTCTATCCCAGCTGAAACCAGGACAATGCCCAATTCTAAAATAAAGTGAGGTGATGCTTTTCCCAGTAATTAAATAATTCATCACTGGAAACCCTAATAGGAATGTGCTAATTTCAGTTCACAGTAGATGCTCAAATGGAATTAATTACAACTCTATCACACTCATACTCCTTTTACGATTACTGTTATGCTATGGAACTAATGCTAAGGCTAAATGTTTTGTGTTACCACAACCTTATAAAAATCTTTCTTAAGCCTAACAGAAATCAAGTGTTGGTTATGAAATGTGAATTTCTAGATAGATACTCTCCTAAAACAAACGAGAGACTCACACCAAGGAATTACAGCAATAAACAGAGACACATTTAGTTTGCTGTGTTTTTCTACCAATGGTAGGAGTGCAAAACTTCAAAAATACAAAGGAAGAAGTATTTGTTATAAGTATGCTCTTTCATATGCTTGACCGCTTCTGAACTGATCTGGAGCAAAGCCCCAGTGCCACACTGCTTTTAAGAACAAGGGAATCCTGGTTGCTCTGAAAGCATATTAACAGAAATGGAAAGACTGTCACAAACATCAGAGGAAAAGCACTTTCTGTCCAGATTTCTTTCTTGGCATTTTTGTTCTCCCAAATGCAATTCCACAAGTTCATACCTATAGACCATTATTACCCAGAACACAAGAAACAATTGGTCGTGGTTACACTTTTCTTCCATGTTCCCTCCTTTAGTACTTCCCTTCACTCAAATATCATCTCATATCAATGAATCAGAAAGCAGGTTAAGACATGCCGCTGTCTTGACTTTCTATAAAACATTTTAAATGGATAGCACAAGAAACAGCACTATAGTCCTCTCCCCTTTTAGAAAATATATTGTTCCTTCCAACTTTTAAAGTTGGCTCTATTACAGATTAATTTCCTATACATTGCCACAGTGATGAGTAACATGTATACAACTCTATGGCTCTTGAGCCTTATTTCTACCTTAAAGTAGCTGCATCATATCCTCCAGATTGCTGACAGAACTGGAAGCAGATGCTTTGGAAACCATTTGGATTTCAATAAAGGAAGGAGCCTTTTTCTGGTTAATAGATTATGTGCAGATTTCAGTGGTTGGATTGCAGTCATAAACCATAAAACTAGAACCTGAGGTAATGAAATTCAGCTTCTTCCTTGTTCAGAGGCTTTGTGAAAGATCTTGAGCAAGCAGTTTAGACTGATATAGAAAGTAAGCATTTCCAATATCTTTAAGGAAGTGTGTCTAACTTTTTCTGTTCTTTGGGACAGTAGAACCATCTCATAAAAGCATCATAATTATATTCTCTAAAGCTTCAGAAGTGTCCAGATACTATACTTAGATCCCAGAAATTCTTTTGTTGGAGCCTCCTTTCCTTTTCTGTGATATTATGTTTGTGTATGATAAGGAAAATTTTCCCTCCTTCCTGGCTACACCTCTTCTGAGTGGGTTATAAGCTAAGCTTCTTATAAGAGTAGTCATTTACTGGGTTACTAGAAGAGTCTTCTCCTTCTCCTACAAACCGGAGCCATGCATGGGGCAGAGACAGGTCACACATGATCTGAAGAGGTGTTATTTCTTTTTCAGAAGCTAACAAGGTCTACCATTGTACCTATGCACTTCCTACTACCCTACCAAACAGAACTACTAACCATAGCATCCATTTGTCTACTTTCTTCAGAGGATCCTTTTTGATAGTCACCTGTGGGAATTCGTGTTCCAAAAAGTCTAAAGGGCTTAGGGTTTATTGTTGCAATGCCTGAAAACCATTTGACCAATTCAGCTTGCAACTAATGCCTTTTGCAGACAGAAAGGGGCAGGCAGCAAATAAAAGTCTTATGACTAACAATCGTTAAATAGCTTGAAAACATTCAAGTTTCTAAGATGTTTACAAATTGCAAGAGGAACATTTTGCAGAATAAAACTGCAGTCCTGGAGCTTAATACTCACTCTACTATTTCATTACTGCTCCTGTTTTATATTAGCGCACTGAGCAATTTGTATGCGTCTGTGGACCTTTCAGTAACGTATACCCAAAGCAATTGCCAAATGTTATTCAGGGCTGCTAATACGTAATAGGTCTAATGAATAATGTTTTTGTTAAGAATGTGGCAAACTGCTATTTATTCAGATGAATTCCAACCAACCCTAATGCCTGGGTTACTTCTAAGGTATGAACACAATAATTACCAAACACAATTCTAAAATACAATTTGTTAACTTGGAGGAGATTGTGAGATTGTGACATACGCTTAAAGTATCCCCAAAGGTGCTTTTGGTTGGGGTTTTTTTCTGCTCTGAGTCTTTGTATATGTAAGCAGGATCTACACTTACTGAACTCACCAGCTGGGTTTCTTGATACGTTTCTGCTGCATGTATCAAGATCCAATAACTGAACATGAGACATGGAAGCAAGCAGTTACCTTCTTACTTAGAGGATAAAGGAGAAAATTCAAAATAGTCAAACTCTTTTTCATTTTTTATTATGTTTAGGCTCCAAAGTTACTTAGAGTGGTTTTGAAAATATCCTCAGAACATGTCCCAGAATCAGCAGGTCTTTTAAGTTAGCAAGAAGTGGCACCAGAAACAAAAGCTGTGTATTAGAACCAAAAGCTATGCAGGTTGCTCATGGGCCCAGAGAGAGACCTGCACAGAGCTGTCAGAATCAAACAGAACCACAGGCAGCAGGCTGAGCCTGTGCTGAGCGGAGAACAAGAACAAGTGTTGAGGGGTGTCATTGGCTAGACGGAATCAAACCAAATACAAAATTCAGCAACTATGTACTTATTAGTTTTAAATAAACATATGCAATGTTGATGTCTTATTGCGGCAGAGAGGACTGAAAATTCATTTAAAATGCTAAAAGAATTATAATTAAATGGTTTTATTGGAGATTAAACTAGAAGTAGCACTGAAAAATGAGATCTAGAAAGAAGTAGATGAACTCAAAAAAGGATAACTGAAAGTAACACATTACTGTGGAATTAAAATTGTATGAGTATAAAAATA